GTGGTTGAACCAGCCGATACAAGCGGTAAGGGGATGATCCTACGCGAAAAAGGAAGTCGAAAATATGGAATAAAAATTTTTCGTTCGAGGCTTTGTTTTCGAGAAAATCGACTTTGATTTTTCGCTCGGTACGCGTGCACTTTATCGCGTCTCCTTATAACGGATCTCACTGTAGATCGTTGTCTCGATGGAAAAATTAAAAAAAAAATTTTATTCTATATTTTCGACTTCTTTTTTCGCGTAGAATCACCCCCTTTCCCTTTGTACCACCAGTTACCAACCACCCTGTATATATGCACTTATGTACCTTTGTCTTACTTTTTCCTACTCGAGCTGCAAACGTTCTCGGGCGACTCCAAGTAGCGCACGAAGCGTAATTGCGTTCTCTCATGGCGAATCTTACTTGTTCCTTTTGCGCGTGGCCTTACCCCTTCTCCGTATAGGCTGCTTCGGTACAATTATGGGAGGAGTTGGTCCGAGTTCTGGCAGAGGAATGTAATTTCGCGGCGCCTTAAATTCAATTTCGAGAGTGTTCTTTAGGTTGTCGTTTGGCATAATGTGCCTTATAGCCTTCAACGAAAGTATCTCCTCCTCGGGCTTTCTCGCCGGTGGATTCTGATCCGGTATCACGTGCACTTTCGTACAGCCTGGCTTGCATTTTTCACCTGTGCAACACACGCTCTACTATCCAACACGTATCCGTACGCGTGTACCTCTGAATAGATATTGGACGAAATAAAGGAAGAAAAGGACAAAGGACAGCCGCAGTGTACCTTCGGAATCCGCGCAATTAAAGTCGAAGCTCGATTTGTCTTGTTGCTGCTGTGTACCTTCGGGTTCGAATTTCCCTCTGTTTTTCGGTATTTTCACGGATATGAAGTTGTTGTCGATTTCGTGCGCCACTTCGTCGTACGGTGGTTCCGCGTACGGTAGAGGACACGATGGATGAAGGCATCGCGGACAGACGCATCGGTTATCCGTCATGTTATTTTCGATTTATCGATTATTTTTCGGCGTCGTGCTCGAACGCGCAGCGCCTTTTGCCTTCTATAATCTGGAGGTTTGTTCGTCGGTCGCCATTCTGCCCAGACGACTGAAGCAAGTTGCGATCGGTAATTGAGATACGTACACATACACGTGCGTTTCACGTCAGCGAACGTCTGTTATTCGTTTCGCGTTGACGTTCGATTATTAAGTTTGGCAATTGAAATTTCCGATCGATCGAAAATTGCGAAAGAAAAGCGATGAAATTCTCCAGTTGCACTTTGACTTTTCGAGTTTAGAATTCTAATTGGGAAATTAATCGTTAAACAGAGGGCGAAATCGCTCGTTGCTGCAAATGACTTCCTGTCTTTCGACACGAATTACCAACTCGTATAATATTTCCGGCGAGACTGGCAACGTGATCGAAGCGAATATGTTGCGTGAAGGCTAATCGAGATAGAAGGCCGTATCGATCGATCTCAAACGTACGGAATCAGTCCGGCGTGCAGCCAAATTACGTGCCACGCTAGCTTTCGACGTACTAATCTGCACGAATGTACTACTGTATAATACTCGTTTCAAAGCAGGCTGTATCCTTTTTGCGATAATTTCCCGTGCTCGGTTTTCGCGGTCAACTTGCAACGTATATAAAGTATTAATTAAATTAGCTTTACTGGAATATCTCTGAAGCTCCTCCATATTAAGAGGCGTGTTTAATTAAAATTTATATCATAGGATATAGTTGGTTTTATTTTTGTTTTGTTGGTTTTGGGTCACCCCCACCCGCCTCGCGACGAAACTAATTTTTAATCGCGCTACCTTTCCACGGACTTAAAGAACGAACGATATCTGTTAGTGAAATCCACTTTGTTACACTTTTTACCGTGCGATCAAAGTTCGGGGCACCGACTACAATCGAATTATCGGTTTTTAAATGAAATTCTTCGCGAGGGTCTCGCCACTCTTCTCGGAAACTTTTCAAGCTAACGCAATTTCTCGTATAATTGGCCGATTAATTTGATGAATTAAACGGTCTGCTTGGAGTTCGTTTAAGTCGTTACACCGAGTACGCGTATAATCGCTTCAGCCTCACTACCTTCTCTCTCTTTTTCTTTCGTCTCGTGCTTTTTTTTCTTGTGTCTGAAGCGACGCGTTTATTCCAACGACACGCCACTCCAAAGTATCGCGACTGTTAGTTTGCGCGTCTACCCTTTCAACTCATTAACATAAGAACGTCTACTCGGGAAAATTGCATGCAATTTTCTTTAGGAACATGCTTCGCGATTCTGGTAACGCCGGGTTTTCACTTTGTCCTTTAAACTACATTCTGCCATAACATGTAATGTACGAGCAAGGAATTCAGCTGGCACGCGAACCCCGAGGCGGGCAAACAACACGGTCCGCTTAATATTTTTCATTCCCTACTGCTGAAAATAGAAGACGCGACTCGGAGATAAGGGCAAAGAAAGTAGGGAAAGCAGCATGTAGATGAGCAGGAACTGTTACTATTTCTGAAGAGGGGATTGGGAAGTTTAAACGAGACAAGGGTCGACGGGACAGGATCGTTGCTTTTCTCTGGAAAATTTCTTCTGGACACGAAGGCTGCAATGTCGGGAAAGCTCTTCGAACGCTGGCGGTTTCATTGTTTCCCGTTCGTGGCTCTTTTCTTTCCCGATTCCTCGCGAAGTGTTTGCGTCATCGTGTTGAGTGCACGGATTCATATTTTACAGGCAAATATACAAGAATTACTTTCGTTCAACGACCTAACGCGTCGCGTTTTTCGATACCAGGACCTTCCTTCGTCGATTTTTCACCCAAACACCCAACATCTCGTTTCTTTCTCTTGCATTTTGTCGTAAAAAAAAAAAGAAAGAGAAAAGAGAATAAGAGCTTCCATTTCTTCTATCAGTTCTCGATAAATATGATTGATTTCACGATTTTATATTTTCTTTCGATTCGCATTAATGTTTTCCCTCGAACGGTCACTCGATTAACTAGTTTAAACGAAAGTTTCGCCAATACGTAACGAACGATCTTTATCGGTTCTCGTATCGGACATTTTAATCTCGAGTTTAAAGTGGTTTCTAGAAAGAGAGACTCGAAGTAAAAGAGATTCGAAAATTCCATCAATCTCGTCGCGTCGGCCGACCGATATTTGATGCGCTCTATCATGGAGATATACCGCGCACAAGGCCGATGATATGCTAATGCCATACGCCCCTTTCATAACGACGGCAAGTCGTGTTTTACTTTCATGAACTTCTTCGAGCTGTTAATAGTTCCTACAAAAAAAAAAAGGAAAAGGAGAAGAAAGAATCGACCACGTTCTTGCAATGGCCGACTCGTTTTCCTCTACGTCTAATTTCAGTTAACGCTTAATTTCGCTTATATATATGTAGGATCTTTACTACAATTAGTTTATTTAAAATAAATTAAAGAGATGTTGGTTAAACAGGAAACGATGGTTGTTTAACGTCAAGTAAATACAACAAGATACTATAATTAAGACAACTAAATAATTAATTTGCAATTCTCGTCACCACGGTTCCAACGCTCTCTCTTTCTCGACAACGCAATTCGCACTCTCTGACTTCTCAACTAACGCTGACCATTAATTCGTCTTTCTCCCTTAGCATCCCCTTGTCTTTTCTCTTAGCCCACTAACTTAACCCAGTAACTATTCGATCGAAGGACCAACGAAGGACCATTATTGGGCCTGTCGGCACTTGGGCTTTCTCGCGACATTGTTTATGGTTCGCCCGATATCTCTTACGCCTTTCGTCTACGATACTACATATACATATATATAAATCACGAGTATAATTATCGGCCACTTTTATATTCGTGTAAGTTCGCAAATTTCTACTATTTTTTGTCTTTTCTAATTTATTCACGAAATAATCATTTTGTGGCAACTTCAAATTTGCGTAATGTAATCCTCGGATGACGCAGGATACATAGAACAGTGTGTGAAACGTGTACAAAAATTACCATCTCTCGAAAGTTCACTTGAAATTTCTGAAAAAATGTTAGAATATAAAGTAGTCTGAAACAAGAAAAGTTTTTATCGCGTGCATATAATGAAATTTACTTTGGATAGTCAAATATGGTATCTCCGAGAATTGGAATCGTCTCGTACTACCATGGAAATTTTCAAGGTAACGGTATTTATAAATTCTTGACAGGTTCCAAGCCACCGTAAGTGCCACTGTAAAGTATCGTCAGATCAAAGACGGTTGAGCGGCAGAAAGTTAAAATACGTTGCGAACAAGTTTTTTCACTGCCGGAATAGCGCAAGGAAAATTGATTTCTCGAATGTTCGACGGGGTCGGAGAATTGTTGGCGAATGCTCGTACATGGAAAAAGAAAAGGTTTTAATCAAAGGTTGCCAGATTAAAATTAATTTCAGCTTTCTATTCGACAACGTTTTTAGAAAGTATGACATTTTTGCGCCAACTCGCAACTTTGTTCGTTTTAATTTCTCGCCGCTTATTCATTTCGAGTACTTGAGTTTGTCAAAACATAAGCGAGCTTTATTTAACAGGGCTGTGGTTCTCCGGGGTATAATGTCATTGTACATCGACGTAGCTATCCATTCTACCGGCTAACGAGGTGGCCGTAATATCGTTGCGAGAGTTGGCAAGCACTAAACAATTTTAATGAGATATCCGAAAGAGAAGAAAGTTACCAGTCTAATTTCGTCGGGCCTTGCTAATTTCGCGTCAACTTTTTCACCAGCCGCCCAATTAACGTTATTTCACCCGCGTCAAAATAATTCGTTTCACCGTTACGCTGTAACTTAGTATCGGAAATCCGGCCAAGTTGTCGGTACCAGGCATTTTCCAGGAACGCGGAGAAAAATGCCAACTTGGGTTAGAATCGACGTTAACTCTGTTACCGTAGGTTAAATAGAAACCTACACTCGATGCTGCTTATTCCATTTGGCTAATAACTCGAAGGCTAATGTTTCAAGTTGAACGCGTAACGGTTCGATGGCTTACGTACATTGGACGGTTCGCACTCTGAAATCATCGAATGATGTATCGTGGGATTAATGGGTAATCAGAATATCGATGCTGCATAATGTTGAGTAACATATCGCGGAGTAATGTATCGGCCGCGATCTACCTATTAGGTTGATGCACGTGAAATATCGTTTTCTCAAATAGGACTTTAATCACGTACAAAGTAGAACCGTACGATACAAAAGAATATCTTTCGCTAATTCTTTATTTTCATATTCACAAGAGACGCTATTTATTCGACGATGGAATCGCATAAATCTTTTCATATCGTTCGAAAGGATGGATTACTAGGGTGGCAAAAATAATCTAAAAAGATGCTATCGATCGGATTGGTTTCGGAGCTAGGTATGTTTTTGTGAAAATCAGCCAGCGCCAGATGCGAGTTTTCGTTACACTGTCTCCTAAAATATTTGTAAAATCGAAGGAAATATAACGGAAAGTAACTACATCGTATTTCCACATCTCGGAACAATAATTTATATAACAAAAGAAATCGTGTACACGCGTAGACAGAAGATCGGTTGAGTAGGCGAAATATGTCAAAATTTCATGTAGGTATTTCAAATTTGATTTCCGGATAAAGGAAATACAGCGTATAGCAGAGGAAATGGAGGAAGGATAGACCATCGACGATCGTTACACCATCGCTCGCATAGATTAACGTAAATGCGATCCAGATTATCGTACTGGCTGGCGTCAATAAAATCTCAATTTCAACTGTCGTTATGCGAGCGTGCGCGCAATTGGTATTTGGACAATTTGCCTTTGCTAAACTTCAATTCCATTGCGTCGTAATGGCCGAGATAAATAAATCAATGGAGAACAAATAATAACTAATAAAAGGGAGGATGTACCGTGAGTAACGTGTACGATAATCGATTCATAAATCTCGATATAGTTTAATGCCATGCATTGTTTACAATCGATAATAATGTGGCATAATCGTGCTGTAAACGCGTCACTCTTTATAATCGCATTATCGATTCTATCGTTTTAATTGCGGTGATCTTTGTTCCGTTGATTACTTCGATATGCATGTTTATTATCGTAAATCGAAATA